AACAAATCGATGCAGGGAATGGGCAAGTCTTCGGAGTGAATGAGAACGGATCGATTTACATCAGGCAAAAGGGGGCCTGGGCACAGGTGCCCGGGCACCTGTCACATGTGACGGTGGGCCCAGCTGGAGTCTGGGGAGTCGATAGCGCCAATGTTATCTACAGAATGCGGGGAGGATCCTGGATTATCATGAATGGTAAGAGAGCAGAATATTCTGGAACTCATTGAGATCTGGCCTCCCTGTTTCATGAGGAAGATTCCTCACCTCAGGGCCTATTTGGCACAGACCAAAGGAGATGCCTCTTAGGTCTGAGATGAGGTGAAATGATTTCCCTCAGGGGGCGATGATTCTTTGGACTTCTCCGCCCCTGAGGGCAGCGGAAGTTCATTCTTAGAGCATTTTTAAAGCAGAGCTTGATGCATTCTTGATTACTGAAGGGGTAAATGTGGGTGGAACGCATTGAAATGTTCGGCTGGCCAACATCACGTTACACGACGGGACAGGCTCTCCAGCCTGAATGGCCTTCTCCTTGCTTCTACATTCCCAATCTTCACATCTACAAGGAGGACTGCACCCATTGGTGTTTGGACGTTCATTTAATTCCCTGTGTTTTTTTTAACAGGCCTGCTCAAACAGATCGATGCTGGCGGAAATGGCTTTTTGGGTGGAGTTAATCAGAACGATGATGTCTTATGTGTCAATGAAGAAGAAGCAAGATCTGCTACCACTCCTTCCAGCCCAGTGTACAACCATATTAGCGGCAAACTCACGTACTACTCCTGTGGGCTGTATGGTTGTTGGGGGGTCAATGCAAACAATGATATCTATTTCCGATCAAATGTGACCCCGGGTCAATGTATTGGAAGCATTTGGGTGCTTATACGTGGCAAACTCTCAATGATCGAGACTGGCACAGATGGAAGCGTATATGGTGTCAACAGTGACGCCAAGGTCTTCCGCAGGTACAGTTCAAGCTCACTGCACCATAAAATAAAACTTCCTGCAGGGCATTTAAGACTCAAAACATTCCAAGGAAAGTTATAAACTAAAGATGTCAACAAACTGTGCGAGACAATGTTATTGTAGGTGGCGGCAGGTTGGCAGTGGGAGCTTGAAGCAGGAAAGAATAGTGGGCGATGTTGAAGGAGGGGATTCCAGAGCTCGGGGACTAGGCACTGACCTTAGACCCACCAATGTGTTCCTGATGAACAGTGCTGTCATTCAAGGAGGGAAGGGGATTCTGGAGGGTCGTGGGGCTGGAAGAGGTTACAGAGACACGGAGTGCTACCGGGTTTGGATTACGTTACAGAGATAAGGAGGAGGAGTGTACATGCTGGAGGAACGTGCAGACATAGGGATGGGTGCAGGGATTGGAGGAAGACCTAGAGATATGGAGAATGTAGGGTCTGGACAAAGTTACAGAGATAGGAAGGGGTGTAGGACCCGAAGGAATAAGAAGGATTGTAGGAGCGAGGTGAACTTACAAATATGAGGAGATTAGTAGGGTCTGCAGGAGGTTTGTGAGGCAGGACTGTAAGAGTTGGAAGACTTATAGAGATCCCTTTATTCATTAATGGGATGAGTGCGTCACTTTCAGGCAGCATTTATTCCCATCCTTAATTGCCCAGAGGGCAGTTCAGAGTCAACACATTGCGGCTGGGTCTGGAGTCACATGTAGGCCAGACCAGGTATAGATGGCAGTTTTCCTCACCAGAGGACATCAGTGAGCCAGATGGGTTTTTCTGATAATGGATTTGTGGTCATCATTAGACTCTTAATTTCAGATGTTTTATTGAATTCAAATTCCACCAACTGCTGTGACAGGGTTCAAACCCAAGTCCCCAGAACATTAGAAATAACAAGTTGTAGAGCTGGATGAACACAGCAAGCCAAGCAGCATAAGAGGAGCAGGAAAGCTGACATTTCGGGCCTAGACCCTTCTTCAGAAAGATTTCTGAAGATTGATTTCTGAAGAAGGGTCTAGGCCCGAAATGTCAGCGTTCCTGCTCCTCTGATGCTGCTTGGCCTGCTGTGTTCATCCAGCTCTACATCTTGTTATCTCAGATTCTCCAGCATCTGTGGTTCCTACTATCCCCAGAACATTATCGGGTCTCTGGATTAACATTGCAACGATAATACCACTAGGCCAATGTCTGCCCAATTTAGAGAGACTACAGAGATAGGGAGAAGTGTAGCGACTGGAGGATGTTACAGAAATAGGGAGGAGTGTACCGACTGGAGGAGGTTACAGAGATAGGGAGAGGTGTAGGGGTTGGTGGAGGTTACAGAGACAGGGAGGAGTGCAGTGACTGGAGGAGGTGACAGTTATAGGGAGTGGTGTAGGTGCTGGAGGAGGATACTGAGATAGGGAGTATAGTGGCTGGTGGACATTGCAGAGATAGGGAGGAGTGTAGGGGTTGATGGAGTTTACAGAGATTGGGGGGTTGTATTGACTTGAGGAAGTTCCAGAAATAGAAAGAAATGTGGGGGTTGGAGGAGGTTAGATATAGGGAGTGGTGTAGGGGATAGAGGAGGTTGTAGAGATTGGGACGGGTGCAGAGACTGGAGGAAATTTCAGAGATAAGGAGGAATACAGGCCTCTGAAGACATCTGTAATCAATTGGGACCTGGATTCGATTCCAGCTTCGGGCGGCTGCCTGTGTGGAGTTTGCACATTCTCCCTGTGTCTGTGTGGGTTTCCTCCGGGTGCTCCAGTTTCCTCACACAGTCCAAAGATGTGCAGGTTAGGTGGATTGGCCGTGCTAAATTACCCATAGTGTTCAGGGATGTATAGATTAGGTGGGTTATAGGGGGATGGGTCTGGGTGGGGTGCTCCTAGGGTCGGTGTGGACATGTTGGGCCGAAGGGCCTGTTTTCACACTGTAGGGATTCTATGAACTAATTTTTTGAATTGAGTTGTCACTTGACTGGAAGGTGACAGAAGTCAATGAGAGCAGGGATACAGAGACTTGATGCGTGAATGAGAGTTGGTACCAGTTTGGGGATGAGACAGCAAAGATTCACATTCTCTGAACTTCACAGGGTTAAGAACTTGAATGGAGACCATGAGACTTGTAAGGTCACTTTTCAACTTGGGTCATTTCTATTTTGCAGAGATGGGATCACCTCCAAGCAACCAACTGGGACAAACTGGAGTCACATCAGCATTGGGCAGATAAGATTCAAGCACGTGACTGCAGATCTGGGCCAACTGTGGCTGACAACTACCAGCAACAATATCATTCACTGCCAGTAGCTTCAAGAAGCAGCAAGTGTGATCAACAATCAATTGAAAATCAATCCGTTCTATCAATGATAAGGGAATAGGTGTCACTTATTTTCTTTCTGTCTCTTTTTAAGATTATTCTGCTCTTACATTGCACGAAGGAATTTCCGCTGGCCGTAATCCAGACCTGGAAAGGTTTTCATAGAGGAGGAGATCAGGCTCAAGTCTCAAGGGGCTTACACCAGAACTGGAGGAGGCCATTCAGCCCTAAAACCCAATTGCAGCAGAACAGGAGGAGGCCATTCAGTCCCTCAAACACAGTTATGACAGAACAACAGGAGGCCATTTAGCCCTCAAACCCAGTCATATCAGAACAGGAGGATGTCAATCAGTCCCTATGAACCCAACTACACAAGGACATGAGGAGGCCATTCAGCTCCAAAAAACTATTGCATCTGTTTATCAGCTTCTGGAGATGAACGACCTCCTGCTCTTGTTGTGGTGAACATTGTGGTTTGCAAAAAAAAACCCACATTTTGTTTTTGTTCACTTTTGTCACGAATCCATGAAATCCAAAGTCACAGCCCTGGGAAAGGAATTGCTAATTAGTCTTGCTGGCTGTTAACTAATTTCTGACGTTGCTAACAATGAGCTTATAGCAACAAGATAAGTCATGGCGTGAGGGTTTGGTTTACTGTCTGATCTCCTGGTCAAAAAGCGAGGGGACAGTTGTGTAACAGTTCAGAAAGGCTGCAAAGGGCAGTTTGGGAAACTGCAGGGCAACAGATCCATGGATGATGTATCAATCACCCAATGTCGCCTTTCTTGTCTGAAAGGATTGAAAGACCCAAATCGGGAAAGTGTGAAGTTGCAGCTCCATGATATTGTATGAGGTGGTACGAACAGCTGAACAGATTTGTGAGGCCCATTCCAAGTTTAAATTCTGTCTTCCACTGATTATTGTTTACTGACCTACATGTTGATTTTGGTTCGATTGCTCAAATAAAGATTGTTTTGCAGGTGAAAGCACGTCTGTTAATTTCATTAATATTGTTTGGGGAGCCATTCATATTTTATTCTTCATCTTCAAGAGGGACCATGAAACTGTCGAATAAATGTGATGGTTCTTAATGGCCACATTCTATTCTATTGTAATCGGTTTTTGGGACTGAATGGCCTCTCGCTCTTTCTAAGTGAGCTTGAATGAGTTCCTAGGCGTTTCAGTTCGTGCGGGTGCGTGTGCATTGTTTATTGGCTATTCTGTCTACATGAACATAAGTACATTGCACAGACATAGCTGCAGTCACAAAGGTCTATTTGACAGCACCTTCCACACAATCAAGTTCTACCACCTAAAGGAACAGGGCAGCAAACACCACTCCCCGAGTCACGCTCCATCCCGAATTGGAACTGTATCACTGCCTTTTTTTTTCCAATGTCACTGGGTCAAAATCCTAAAACGACCCCATAATCACTCTGGGGAATTTCAGACGTTTAAAGAAGACACCTCATCAACTACAATACTTGTGTCATTGGGCATTTACAATAAAAGCCATCTTGCCAACAACACCCACACTACGATGTGCAAACCTACAAATATAGGACGACACAGTGGGCGCACAAAATGTTCAGATGACACCTGACAGGAAAGACTGTTTTCAGGGCAAAAAGATTGCAAACAGTAACGAACATGCTCAGTCTCCTCTCTCTCTCTCTCGAGAAAGATAAGTTTAAGGGATGACTTGGTAACAGGGTGACACAATGGATAGCATGGCTGCTTCACAGCACCAGGCACCTGGGTTTGATCTCAACCTCAGGTGATTGACTGCATGGTAGATTCTTTTATTTGTCAACAGGATGAGGGTGTCACTAGCTAATTGCCCAGAGGGCAGTTCAGAGTTGACTGTGTTGCTGTGGGTCTGGAGTCACATGTAGGCTAGACCAGGTCAGGATGGCAGTTTTGTTCCCTAAAGGGAACTAGATGGGTTTTTCCTGACAATGGATTCATGGTCATCATTAGATTCTTAATTCCAGATATTTTATCAAATTCAAATTCCACCATCTGCCACAGCAGGATTTGAACCAGGCTCCCCAGAATATCATCTGGGTCTGTGGATTAACAGTCTAGTGATAATACCACTAGGCCATCACCTCCCCCTAGTACCCAGAGTAATACAGAATGGAAACAGGCCCTTCAGACCAAACTGGTCCACAGTGCCCCATCAGGTCGTTCCAATTGCCTGCATTTGATCCATATCCCTCAAAAACCTTCCCATCTATTTAAATGTTGTTGTTGTACCTGCCTCAACCACTTTCTCTGGCAGCCCATTCCATATACGCAGCACTCTCTGCGTGAAGGAGTTGCCCCTCAGGCCCTTCTTAAATCCTTCCCCTCTCACCTTAAACCAATGTCCTCTCGTTTTCAATTTCCCATCCCTGGGAAAAAGACTGTATGCATTCATCCTATCTATGCCATTCATGATTTTATGCACCTCGATAAGGTCACCCCTCATTCTCCTACGTTGCAAGGAATAAAGTCCTATCCTGGCCAACCTCTCCCTATAACTCAAGCCTACTAGTCCTGGCACTTTGGTAAGTCCTTCCTTGGTTTGAATTTCCAAAGTGTAACACCTCACACTTACCTGCATTGAATTGCATTTGCCTATCCTCAGCCCACTTTCCCATCTGATCCAGCCAACAATACCTCCTAATTTGTACTAATCATGCTTTGTACATTCACATCCAGATCATTTATGTAAATAACAAAAAAAGCAGAAATTAGGCCATTTGGCCCATCGAGTCTGCTCCGCCATTCAATCATGGTTGATAAGTTCCTCAACCTCATTCTCCTGCTTTCTCCCCATAACCATTGATCACCTTGCTAATCAAGAACCTATCTATCTCAGTCTTAAATGCACTCAATGACCTGGCTTCCACGGCCTTCTGTGGCAGTGAATTCCATAGATTCACCACTCTCTGGCTGAAGAAGTTTCTCCTTATCTCCATTCTAAAAGGTCTTCCCTTCACTGTAAGGCTGTGCCCTCGGGTCCCAGACTTTCCTACCAATGGAAGCATCTTCCCAACATCCACTTTGTCCAGGCCATTCAATATTCTGAAAGTTTCAATTAGATCCCCCCTCATCCTTCTAAACTCCAGTGAGTATAGTCCCAGAGTCCTCAAACATTCCTCCTATGTTAAGCTTTCCATTCCTGAGACCATCCTCATGAACGTCCTCTGAACCCGCTCCAGGGCCAGTGCATCCTTCCTGAGATATGGGGCCCAAAACTGCACACAATACTCCAAATGTGGCCTGACCAGAGCCTTATAAAGCCTCAGAAGTACATCCCTGCTTTTATATTCAAGTCCTCTCAAAATAAATGCCAACTTAGATTTGCCTTCCTGACTACTGACTCAACCTGCAAGTTTGCCTTGAGAGAATCCTGGACTAGACCTCACACGTCTCTTTGCACTTCAGACTTCTGAATTTTCTCCCCATTTAGAAAATAGTCCATGCTTTTATTCTTCTTAAAAGTGCATGATCTCACACTTTCCCACGTTGTACTCCATCTGCCACATCTTTGTCCACTCTCCTAAACTGTCCAAATCCTTCTGCAGCCTCGCCACCTCCTCAATACTACCTGTCCCTCCACCTATCTTTGTATCGTCTGCAAACTTAGCCAGAATGCCCACAGTTCCTTCATCTAGATCATTAATGTATAAAGTGAAAAGTTGTGGTCTCAACACTGACCTTTGTGGAACACCACTTGTCACTGGTTGCCATCCTGAGAAAGACCCTTTTATACTCACTCCCTGCGTTTTGCCAGACAGCCAATCTTCTATCCATGCCAGCACCTTGCCTCCAACACCATGGGCCCTTATCTTACTCAGCAGCATCCAGTGTGGTACCTTATTAAAGGCCTTCTTGAAGTTCAGGTAGATAACATCCATTGGCTCTCCTTGGTCTACCCTGCTCATTACTTCCTCAAAAAGTTCTAGCAGATTTGTCAGGCATGACCTCCCCTTGATGAAACCATGCTGACTTTGCCCTATTTTACTATACACTTCCAAATATTCAGAAATCTCATCCTTTACAATGGACTCCAAAATCTTACTTACGACCAAGGTTAGGCTAAGCGGCCTGTAATTTTCTGTCTTTTGCCTTACTCCCTTTTTAAACAGGGGTGTCACATTAGCGATTTTCCAGTCCTCTGGGACCCTCCCTGGCTCTAGCGATTCCTGAACGATCACCACTAATGCTTCCACTATCTCTTCAGCTGTCTCCTGTCGAACTCTGGGGTGCAGTACATCTGGTCCAGGTGATTTGTCCACCTTCAGGCCAATCAGCTTTACTAGCACCTTTTCCTTGGTGATGGCCACCATACTCAGCTCTGCCCCCTGACTCCCTTGAATTTTTGGGATGTTACTCGTGTCTTCCACCGTGAAGACTAACGCGAAATAATTATTCAGTTCTTCAGCCATTTCCTTGTTTCCCACTACTATCTCTCCACTGACATTTTCCAGTGGTCCAATGTCCACTTTTGCCTCTCTTTTGCCCTTTATATACCTAAAGAAACTCTTAAAAACTTCATTTATATTACTGGCTAGTTTACCCTCATATTTAATCTTGTCCCTCCTTATTTCATTTTTTTGTTGCCCTCTGTTGGTCTTTGTAAGCTTCCCAGTCCTCTGGTTTCCCACTGTCCTTCGCCACATTATATGCTTCCTCTTTTGCTTTTATGCTTTCCCTGACTTCCCTTGTCAGCCAAGGTTGCCTCATCCTCCCTATACCATGCTTCTTTTTCCTAGGGATGAATTTTTGCTGTGTCTCCTGAATTACTCCCAGAAATTCCTACCATTGCTATTCCACTGTCTTCCCTGCGAGGCTCCTCTTCCTGTCAATTCTGCCCAGCTCCTCCCTCATACTTCTGCAGTCACCTTTATTCAGCTTCTCCCTCTCAAATTGCAGAGTAAATTCAATCATCTTATGATCACTGCCTCCTAAGGGTTTCTCTACCTTGAGCTCCCTGATCAAGTCTGCCTCATTGCACAACATTAAATCCAGTTCCCTTGTGGCCTTCACCACGAGCTGCTCCAAAAAGCCATCTCATTGACAATCCACAAACTTCTTTACTGGCAATCCACCACCAACATGATTTTCCCAGTCCACCTGCATATTGAACTCCCCCATGATCACTGTGACTTTGTCTTTCTTACACACCTTTTCTATCTCCAAGTATATTTTGCGCCCCAGCTCCTGACTACTGTTTAGAGGCCTGTACACAACCACAACTATGTCTTTTTTTACCTTTGCGGTACATCAACTCTACCCACACAGATTCTACACCATCTGACCCTACTTCATTTCTTCCTATTGATTTAATTTCATTTCTCACTAATAAAGCAACGCCACCCCCTCAGCCCACCTGCCTATCTTTTTGATAGGATGTATATCCTTGGATATTCAGTTCCCAGTCCTGATCCCCTTGCAGCCACATCTCCGTGCTGCCTACTGCATCATACCTGCCAATTTCAATCTGCGCTACAAGCTCATTTACCTTATTCCTTATACTGCATGCATTCAGATATAACACCTTCAGTCCTGTATTAACCCTCCCTCATCTCATTTTCATTTGTTTTTCCAGTGTTTGATTGCTAGCCTTTCCAAACACTCTGTCCTATTTGTGTCTGTGCTGGAGACTTTAATAACCTCTCCTGAATTTTCCTTTCCTGTCATTTCTTTCATGTTTTATTCCACTTAGTTGAATCCACCACTACAGGTGTTAACGTGCTGCTTTGTTTCCCACTGGGGCAAGTTTCACCATTCCCTTCCCCCCCACTTTCTAGTTTAAAGTCCTGTTGACCAGCCTATTTACCCTTTTCACTAGAACCTTGGTCCCAGCTCGATTCAAGTGGAGACCATCCCAATGGTACAGATCCGTCCTGTTCCAATACTGATGCCAGAGCCCCA